GCACGCGTTCAAAGAATTTCATCAGTACAAAAAATTTTGCGCGTTTGCTATCATGATCATAGTCCCGAAACCAAACGCCTCATCAAGACTGCTGCCCCAACTAGTATAATAATATGATTTAACGGCAATGGTACTGTCGCCTTCTTAAACGATACCTGTAAGGCGGGTACACTTAGGCGGAGTAGCACTCGAATAGCTGCATTCCAATGTTGCAGTCCGGGTACTTCAGGGAACATGACGGTCGTGATATCACGTTTGCAACTCCGGTCAAGTACATGTAGTGATGTTCGGCAGGCATCCAATAAAGAAACGATATGGCTTCGAGCGCGGCGCCAACAACCCTCATCCGTTCTAGGCGCTTGCTTTGACGACAACTTCAATCCTGGCGCACACGGGTTGTCGGCATTCTTGGAATCCTCTTATTCAAAATGTCCGACTAAGTCGTCGATTTAGCTAGCCCTCTTGTTCGCAAGTGCATTGGCCACCCTGTCGTGGTCGATATCCATGCCCAAAATGATTTTTACCTTGCCCAGATCCTGTTTCTTGGATGCTTTTCGGGCACCTGATTGATCTCCCTGCGAGCTTTTATGCTGCGGCAGTCATGTCATCCACATATAATCCAGCGTAATTAAAACCTTTCATTGAGCGCACTGGTCTTCCCATAGTCCAAAAAACTATTTTACGAAGGCACGATTTTATGTTGTCTCCCTGAGCTGGATCCAATCAGTTGATAGGCTCTTTTATTTGACACACGTATCCTTGAGCTCTGCTGACACTCAACAGACTTTCAAATTTACGTCTTCTATCAGCACACTGTTTAGAAGAGCGGTATCAGCATTCAGCTGATTTTTGGACAGTCGCCTTCGGCACATACTGCGTTAATCGTCCGAATTGAAGTAATGAAGGTGACCGCGGAATAATCTTTAAGGAAACTAATCTCATACTTTTGCTTGAAATCTGCGCGATAAATCGTGCCTTGTACCGCATACCAGTGCCATTTTGATCACGCTTTTTGGCAAAGGCCCATCGCGATTCAAATGTGCGAATGTTCTCGCTCTTAGCTTTGATATCCAGGTTTGGTTCTGCTCATGGAAGCGAAGACCAGCCTTGAAAGCGTCACGCTACTTTGCTGCATTGTCGCTTGCCATTGCCTGATTGACAAACTCGTTCATCTCCAGTATCCATCATGCACACAATATCAGCATCGGCAATGAATCCCGCTTATGTCAATTCTACCACGTTCCGGTATTGGTGGACTACCACTTTATCCGCTACCTCTTTCTCATCTGGGCCGTTTCGTAGCATAAGCATCGGCTCATGTCCTCGTCTTTTTCGCTCCACATCTGACCGAGACACGTAAAGATCTTCTTGACCCGTATCAAGAGACGGGCCATTTTTTAAGCCCCAACCTGTTTACAGCAGAACAATAAGCTGCTGTATGCTGACCGTTACGTACGATCAACATCGTACATTTCGATGTCTCGACAAGATCTTCGGCATTTTCTTTAGATTCTTCCGATCTGACTGTCAATTCACTACTTTTTCAAAATGAATATTATCATTGCCCTTCATAATTTTGGTTATCGTTTCTTGTGGCGTATACGTTTCGTAAACGCCGCTTTCTTTACGCCATCTAACCTCATACAACGTGTCGGATTAAGCTTGGCATAATCCAAGTCAGACACGTGATAAGCCTTGACATTTTCCGCATGACCGAGAGATATACTTTCAAAGCTCTTGGGCTAGCGCAACCCTGCAACCCGAACATGTGTAAGTGATCTATTCGAGGCTTCATCGAGAAAGACAACTCATGTGGGGTGATGTCGAGATGAGATGTGTTCGTCGAGAAATTAATCAGATAAACTGCTGTGTTCCACCCTTCAGACAAAATGCTTTTTGTAATATAATAAGCTGCGAACCATTTCCACAAAATTCCAATGTATGCGCTTCGCATCCCTTTTTGCTGAGGGCTATATGGAACGAAGCATTGGTGGGCGATGCTGTTCCGACGACATATTTTCATTACTTTGCTCAAGAATTCGATTTTGCTGTAGGATTTATGACGAAAAAAAGAATACGCAAGACGTAAAACGAGACACCAGCTACTAGACTCTTGCTCTTGTCCAGAGAAAGAGCAAAATATGTTAATCAATTATCCACATGAGGGTATAATTCTCATCAAACGTTGAGATTATCCGCACTGGTTCCATGGTATCGGTGCGGCGGGGCTGCCTTAGCTCTTTTGCATAGAGAAAGCTAAGCTAAGATCGGTGGCCTTCGCCCAATACTTAGAGCCAGTACGAGTATAGCGGATCGTGACCCGCTTACTGCAAGAGTAACCACAATCTTAATCCAAGGCAAATAAATTCTTCCGTTCAAAATGTAAACTGTTTCTTTTAAGTTTATTTGCGGCAAAGCCTCCTATATCTAAATCCATAGTTTTCCTTTTTAAATAGTATTTTTAAATTATAAACTCCAGAACACGTGTCGTACTTGTTATCGAACGTGGTGACTCCTTCAGAAAACATTACACAATGTCCTGTGTCTTGCTAAATTGTTGAGATGCCTTTGGCGTAGCGTATCTTAAGTAAATCATCTTTATTCAGGTATCTACGCGAGCTATTTGGGTATCCTATGCGAGCACACAACACCCCTCTGCGTTTCAGCCCTGGAATACTCCTTGTAATATGCTTCTTTCTGTTTAAAGTCGAGCATATACGCTGCGACAATTCTTGAATTCAATGCAGTCGCCATTTTGATCCAGATGACTCACGAAGAGCGCAACCCCCCCACTAATACCGCGTTGCGCAAACTTGTCAGCAGACTACAACCGTCTGTCAAGTCCTGATGTATTACATCAATCATGTCAAAAATTCTTTTCCCAAACCGGTCAGTTTCGTGGTGACGGATCCTTTGTCAACTAAATTCTCGCAGCTTAAATTGTTACTTTTGGTACTTGTCTCAAAGTCCTTGTTTTCGAGCAAAATCTATCTGTGCGGACAACGTGGGACGCTGCGACACTGTTGATGAGCCACTTTTAGTGATCGTCCTTTGCCCAATATAAATGCTGCGTAATCTCTGCTGACACGTGGTCTGACCGGGCAGCTCCGCATCATATAACCAATCTGGTCACAACTAAACAATTGCGTTTCATTCGACCTTGGTTGCCTGGAGTGCCATTTTTTCAAACGTGGCGTTGCCCACCAACAAATCTTTTAGCATACGCATGATTACTAAACACTTTCTCCGAAGCCTCCGCTCTGTGCAGCTTTTCTGGATTCTGCAAAAGCTACTTCTTCGCTTCAGTCCGTGTGATGTCCAGCGTATTTTCTACAATCGCTGAGAACAATTCATATTCCGGTACCAGACTGCTGAGAAGTACCACCAGCTCTCAGCTGGATTTCCCACTGTCTGCGACACACAACTAGTTTGTCAAAAGAGTCTAGATTTCCCGCCATGCTAGTACCACCTTTCATCTTGAAGTCATTACGTTGTCGAGTTAATGTCAGGCGATTGTTCAGCGTCGACGGATTGTAACGGTCCCCATGCCTCCATGGCACTCATGGTCGTCTAATTTTGTTTGATGCTGAATGTCAGCACCTTGTGCACTGATAGCCGATTCTTTGCGTCGGTCGTAAGACATATCTTCGTGAATTTTTTCTGAAGCATATCATGGTCATCGTTCGTCTCCTTCACAGCTATGATATACCCAATAGATGCTTGCTCACCAGAGTTGTCCTCATAATTCACTATCAGTGATAATAGTTACCATTCCCCAGGAGAATTTCGATGCTTTTGTTTGCCATTGTGGATACGGATAATTTGATGGGGGAAGTTAGACTGTTAACTTATCGGTGAAACCCCAAGTGAATAGTCGATTACGTTCCTATATTTACCTCGTCCTACCATTGCCATTTTTCTACTAAATTCCTTTGCCGTAATTATATCCGACCTGGTTGGAAAATCATTAACACGGTCGAGGGGACGTAGGCACTGGCTATGTGAAACGGAAATTGCCCGCCCATATACACAATTTCTGAGGAAGGCTTACGTCAACTGGCACGCCTAACCGCGTGTTGATCTCTTCCAGTGGGCCGTTGACTTATGTGGAATAGAGATAACATTTATTATCATAGCTAGTAGACTTTTGACCTTCCTAACCTGTTGAGTACTCCCATTTCTGATACAACAGAACTGAAAGGGGATATAAAATATACAAGGCGTAAAGTTTATGTAATTCACACAACATGTGTAATGGGACCTGGAGCATTACACTATGAACCCCACAGTGAACCCTATACACGGTGTAATTTAACAATGTCCTTTGTGGGACATGAACCTTCATTCATGAAAGTAGAGCCACCACACCTTATTGCTAGGCCTTGTTGAGCTCGATTCTAATGTTATAACTATGCATGTAAAATATCCATATTACCGCACTAACGTTCTTCAGCAGTATTGAGCGGCGTCATCAACGCAAACACCTGGCTGTGGTAGTGATCTTAGTAAACGTGAAAGTTATACTTTTGTGCAATCGCGCAAGATACACAAGTCTTTATTGTGAAATTGAGCAAATATGGTGCCAAATTATTGGTAGCGAAGAGGACGACAGAATTATCGTTTAGAGGGGTCCGCAAGACCGGTGAACTGTCTGTTTTATGCTGTGTATGACATATAGAGCAGAGTCAAACTAGTATATTTGTACTCGTTTATAACAAACAAAAATTTATCATACGTCCCTCGTGCAATTGGAGATCAAACTTGGTATGCAGTATCTCAATATAGATCTCGATTTTGCTCCTGCGTAAAGTGAACAGGCCCATCATAGTGTGTTTATCAACGCAAAATCATTAAATCAAAGCGTCTGATGTACGGCGAGCTCATTGTACTCGGTAGCGCGAGACGACAATCCAACAACCACTACCAAACACCCTGTATCTCTATGATGACAGATTGCAAGCCGCGCGACTAATTGTCCCAGAATCATTGAACATGCTTATTTAGCTCACGTCATCTGTTGATCTCGACGGGCCGAGTTGATATCGAAGGGTGAAGCAGTAGACAGCCCAAGAGTCTAAAGTGGTTATTGTTTGCCTGGAGACATTAACAAGATGCAAAATGCAATTTCTAAGCAACCGTTAGATCACTCCCAGCCAGGCTTTGGTGGAAGTGCATTCGGGCCTCGCGGACCTTTTTTGAATCACAGGTAATTCTTTCGTAGAAGTACCGCTCACGCTTATAGCAGCAGCGGTGGTAAGATCCACACACTCCATTAGAGCTTAAAGCCGGCGAAAGTGTTAATGAAAATTTGAATCAGTTTACGAAGTGGGCGTCGAAAAGCTGAAAAATTATATCGTCATTGCTTTCTGCTCCTTAAAGCTCGTCCATCTCTATGCGGCAGCTATTATGCGACTCGTACTCTACGCGAGGTCGGTATCCATTAACAAGTGGAAATGGCGTTGCGAGAGGCTCTTTTTAGAAAAAGATACATTTTGAGGGTGCGTCAGGCCTACTCAGCCATGGCACCGGAAAATCTCGCCAAAAGGGGACCCCAAACCCTATGTGTTGTCCAAGTGAAGATATCCCATCAACTCCACCAAATACTGGTTATAGCATTAGCGTACCCGCCGACCCACCAAACGTCTTAAGTGAAAGTTGGCCACCCTTCGATCATTGAGCAGTACCGGCGGAGGTCACTCCCCCGTGACCGGCATCTGCAAGCTCTCTCGGTTGTGGCGACACGTTGGATCTCTTCCAGTGTCACGGTATGCGTCCGCGCTCTAAACAGGCATGTCTCAGATCATTTTCTGAGCTTTGCCATCACACTGCACCGCTCGATGGCCTCCAACTGGCATCGCTGTATTGAAGAGTAGGGTAAACCAGTTAGTCAAGACGCTCCTTGCTTGAAACAAAGTCGTTTACTTCCGACTAGATCGTAAGAGTGGGATCGTGGCATTGCTTCAACAGAACCAAATTGCGGCCTAAGCATACCGTTGCAAATCACAAATATCAATTAGAAAAATGTGAAACATACACCACGAGGCGTGGGACCCCACAGCTCGAAATTCTGTACCTAAGGACCTCATCATGAGCATGTTTGTCGCACCAACCTATGGAATAATACATGGCAGTGCAAGCCTGCAACTGCGATAGCGTGAGGCTAAGCTTCCGAACGTATTGCTTCAACAATTTAAAAAACGCGACATATGTTGCGTCTGACCCGTACGCTATATATCAATCGCCTTATTAATCGGCGATGTGACCATCGGGATAGGCGACGTGAGCGACGCGAAAGCGCAATCGCCACCTGTAACTAATACCTTCCCACAAAAGTATAGTCAGTGAGGCATATATTTATCGCTCTCACCATTCTTTATGACGGATATGATGGCGACGTCACTGTCCGAAGCACCACATGATGGTGCATGGATCACAAATAAATTAGAGCCAAGCAGATACACCATGAGATTGGCGAGGGATGCTTCAATTCAAATTGCAACTCCAAATGAGCAAAAGATTATTACTGTGCAGCTTTAAGCTGACAAGACATAAACGAAACACGCGTTCGTGTCCACTGTCAACTGTTTGAAAAAAACAGCCTACTAGCAATATTGAGCATCACAACATGAACTGACCGATCTGGATTCGGAAAGCTAGAATCGGGGTAGGTATGCAATGTTAATCACAAAAGTTGATGACCGACTTTTTTTCCACATCCAAAACCAGTTGACTCCCTTCGCTAAGGCTATTGGTGAGCTGTCGTGTAATGTCGGCAAAAAATTGCACTATACATGCGCAAGTTGTTGCAGATCAAACCGCGTCATCACGCCCTTCCGAGGAGAAGCACTACCCAGCCTGCGTTAGCATTTATCGCTGCCGAATCTGTCTCCAGGTCGTGCTCCCAAGTAAACAGCTAAAAAAGAGGATTTCATCAGCGCCGAAGGCATACGTGGCTATATCGACGAACAGATCAGTAAAAATCATACACTCGAGAACTGCCCGCAAGTGCTTGATGTTGTTCTCCACAATTGACCCCCTAGTGCTCTGCACGATTATGGACAAAGAAATCGTCGAAAGGTTTGCGCATATACACAATATGGCCTGAATGGCTACGTCACCAGACGATTATACGTCAATTGGGCGTGAGACGGTCTATGTAGTATAAATTGTTGCAGATGTCGCTGTTTCTTTTAGAAATTAATAATATTTATTAGCCAGCCGAAAAAGGTGCAGCCAGCAATTTCGTTCAACTGCACATTAATTCTGATTTTTGCGTTTGCACCGGAACGATGGATGCATTGAGCTTATAAGCAGCGTGTACCGTTTGGCTTCTGTCAGTATCCTTCCTGACTTGGAATATGGAGTGTCATCTTTCTCATAAAAAGGTCATTGCCGTGTGACGCAATTTGAGCTTTGATAGACTTTCTATCAGGGGGTGACGGTTGGTAGGTCTCTTGTCCTCACGTCGTGATATTCACTTGGCAATGAATATAAACAATCCCTAGGTTCTTGATACTGCCTATCCAGCTGCTCGCGCTCACTGATCTGAAAGCGTCCTACATGCTATGACAAATTTATCCATGTTGGATGGTGATACCATATCATTCTATGGTACCAACCGGTGGTCACTCCGTTTTGCAGTACCTTGCACATATCCCCGAGGAGCACTTCCCCCGACTAACTTTGAGAGCTTTTGCCGAAGGTATTGAGAAGATACTTAAAACCACTAGGACTACCCAGTCGCTCTTTTCACTAGTGAAATATGTTTCTTGCCACTTACCCGTCATACTATATCGATTGATAACGGTGCACCCGTCACATCGTGACAAGGATACACCAACTTTTAAATAATTAACCCTGACCCCTTCTTTCGCAACCTGCAGTCTACTTTCAGCTTCACCGGCTCTGGTGCGGAGAGCTGTGACATCTCAGACACCACCGCAATTTCCTGACTTTGGCACAGTAGACATAAGCTCACAGCTGTTTTTTATAGCCCACCAGATAAATGATATGAGGACCAGGGCATATATCTGTTCTTTACCGTCTAATCCTGGGAACGCGCTCGTTGCCGCTTCAGTCTTCCAAGCTCTTCTAGAGGCACCTAGCAATATCTTTGCGGTCAAATTCAGGCAACCCCACACCATGCACGGAAATTATAACCGCTTTAGACCCGAGCAAAAAGCAGTTTTGCTTTCTAGCAGAGGTGATTCATGACTCGCTTATGCTTCAACTGGAGAAAAGTGCGTGACACCCCTCCCAGTCGGCTCGTGACTGATAGCGTCCCAGCCACGCCGTACTTAGGTAGGATAGGATCTTATATCGAATCCAAGTTCAGGGCAATAAACCGCTCCAATTTGTCAAAGTCCATAAACCTCACTAGAAGAGGTAAAAAATCTTTCCAATATCTTGGTCGTAACACGCAAGAATGCCGTATCCGCATCTAACACCCGCACACTATATACTGTTTTTGACAGTCGCGCATCATGCGTGATTGTACAAAGCTCCTGAGTCCATCAGGACTTTCCATGGTTTTACGAAGCCCGAATCGTTGATGTCAACAACCAACAGCTCTGGACCATTGGATTCGTCTCATGTTGATAAAGTGACTTCTTCAGAACTGGGCCCGGTTATCCACGACCTCCACGACATACTTTACAGCATATTTCATATCAAAAGGTCATCATACGTCAACTGAGATTTGACGCTCTTCTACAACGGGTTTCGAACGCTGTTGAGCGGGTGCATTATTCTCCATACCTCTATGACGAAAGGTGCAAATCTTCCGTACTATCAAAGATGATACATCTTTGAACCGCGAAGCTCCAGCAGCAATACTTTCCCCATTGCCTTCTCTGTATGAGTAAGGGTTGTCGCTTTTGGCACGACCGAAGTGTCCTACTTCTAGTACTGTCTCGACACGAAAGTAGTTTCTCGTGCTCAATGTGACACCCACCGCTTTCTTGAAGTAGGTAGAATGAATGCGTAAGATCTCGTGCGACCCGCGCCCGTGCGTAGACTCTCCATAAAACGTGTGACCATCATCACCTCAGGGATGGAGGCTAATGCTAATGAGGCGATAAAACCTCTTAACCCCTGAGCATAAACAGCAGATTCTTGTCTCCTATAAAGGATGGATAATTTTTGTCTAGCGCACTAAAGACGCCTGGTATGTATGGCAGTGCGACAGCAACCGCTCTAGTTTTCTACATGTTTAAAAGTACATTGTAAACCAAGGTACTGCAAATTTGTGATTATTCTCCACGCAGCATCCTTGACGTAGAATCTGTAAGCGCAATGTGCTGTTGCTTCGTCTAGAACATAGCCGAACCGTGAAATTTTTTTTTAATCGAGAGGGGAAGATTCTTTACATCCTGACTCTCAAAGGCTATAAGCGATTGTTGCTGTCAGCCTTCCCAATAGCGACTGTTTGGATGGACAATCCTGGATGTTTATCGCCAGTAAAATTCTCATGGCGAGTGAATGCCTACGATAAGCGATCTCTGCATTCGGTCCTCGGGACACCAGTTCCTTGAATCCCTTCGGGACAAACAATCTACAAATGCTAACCAAGCATGTCTAGTTGTCAAAAAGACGGGTACATGAGCTTCTCGTTTTGGTCCTTACAGAGAATACAGTCCTTTCATGACCCGGTTGTGAGATCAACGATAAGTGCCTGCTAGCGCAATAGGGAAGCCTTGAACTTTCCAAAAAAACTTTGCCTTAAAGAGTTCTCATTAGCAATCGCACAAAAATCAGGCTTATTAGCTTTATCCAAGAGCAAACCGAGAATCTCTAACATCACTAAATAGGTTGTTAGCCTTGCTATCTCAGAAGTTCATTTACAAAGACGTTACTCTGATTAGACCAATGTTCAATATATACTTATCTAACCTGTCTGTGTGACGCACGGCTAGAACCCCACGTGCAATAAAGACTTATTCCTTTCGGACATTCATCATCTTCATATATTCACTGCTACACCAAAGTGCGATGTGACTATCTTAAGACTTGCGAGAAGCGTCATGATAAAATTTTACTCGCTGATCTGCTCGGCTGTCAAGCCATGTCGATTTCATCAGCATTTTAATGTAAGTTACAGTTCAATAGAAAGTTGCATTTTTTTGAGATGTTAGGTTCAAATTTTGAGAATGCATTGCAGATATAGATACTAGGAATCCTTTTAGCTCTCTATATTTCATACAATGACGTTGATGGCGCATCAATTCAGACTACTTTTATTTACACGTCAGAATATAGTAGTCGCGTTACTTGG